GGGGTCGGCACCTCACGGGTCGCCGTTGACATGGATGGTGAACTTGGCCAAGGACTGGCCGCTGCCTCCGCGCTCCGGGCTACCAGATCATCGCCAGGAGGGGAATCCCTTGACCCGGGAACCGCCTCAGCGTCGTCATCGGCGTCCCGGATCGGCGAGGCTAGCAGCGTGGGTGGTGTCGAAGCGCCCCAGCTCGAGAGTGAACCCGCCGAGGAAGAGCTCACTTCGAGGACGCCGGAATCAGACGAAAACACCATCGGCGTGAGCCGGGTACGCGGCACCGTCGAGCGGGAGGCCGTGGAAGAAGAGGATGAGGCCGTCGAGGTCGGTGCCCGCTGCCGCGTCACGCGCCCACTGGCCCGTCGAGGTCGGTCCCCGCATCCGCGTCCTTGCATGCGCCGTCCCGTCGGCCAGGCGCCAAGCCACGTCTTCGTTGCAGCGATCCGCACGCTTGGGGCCATGGTCAGGAGGCGCTCCTGGTGGGCGTCCCAGTCGAAGGAGTTCGCGGCGCCGGCGGCCGTCGGAAACCATTTGGCGATGCGCTCCCTGAACTTTGCTACCATCGTCGAGGGCATGAGGCACTGCATGAGGGTGCGATGGAGCCGCTTCTGGAGCCCAGCCTTCGAGCCGCCGTCGGACTTCCACGGGTGCGCCATCTCGTGGACGAGGGCATCCGAGTGGTGGCAGAAGTGCGGGCGATTGGGGAAGCCGCGGCTGGCCTCCACCAAGTGGTCGATCCACGGGGGCTCCTCCCAGATGCCGTTGTCCCGGGCTCCTCGCGCACGTGCCGCCAGGGGAAGAAAGCGTTGGGCCGCGTCCTCGAGGAGCCGCACGAGGGGCTTCCAGCGCGGGAGCGTGGCGGTTGCCGTTCTTGCCATGGCCGCCGCGCCCTGGACGACGATGGAAGGGAGCTTGGGGCCGCCCCAGTCGACCCAGTGGTGCCAGTCTGGGAAGGTGCACGCCGTCGGGGGCACCTTGAAGATCCGCGCGAAGACCGACCTCTGTAACGCGAAGCTTCCACGGGAGAGGGAGCAACTGGGAGACGTACGAGACTGTCGGAACCGCCCAGGTGACATAGAGCTCGGCCTTCGCAAAGGCGTCGCCAGGTGAACGGGCAATAGCCCTTGCACGTTCTTGCCACTTCAACAGCGGGCCGGCTAGATTGGTGGCCGCAGTGGCGCCGGGGCCGACGATGAAGCCGAGGTAGGTTGCCGAATCGACGACCTTAAACTGCACCCAAGACGGCAGGACGGCTCCAAGAAGTGCCTGCGTGGACCGGATAGCTTCGGAACTGAGCTTTACAGCGAGTGGCATCGCAGCGCACTGTTTGGGCTTGAGCACGAGCGTTGCGAAGGACTCGGCCAGCCTGACGTTCCGGCCAAGCGCGCGACGCCCAGAGGCGCCGAAGGTGACCGCCCCGACGTCGTCCGCGCAGCATCTGGTGGCTCCGTTCTTACGCAGATCGACGTTCTGCCACATGTCCCAAGTGAACGGCGCACTGGCCGCTACAAACAAATCGCCGCTGAGGGGGCATCCCTGCAAGACGCCGCTGAGGATCCAGTAGGCGAAGCGGATGTAGTGACCGCGGGAACTGACAGCAGCAGCATGATGATGGCGTTGACCATTCCAGCAGGGAGTTCGAGCGCGCCCAGGCACATGAAAAGCCAGGCCCACCCAACAGAGGGGAAGGCCGCTGCGAAGTCGAAAAGCATGAGGAGCGGGTGCTCGGCGGAGGGGAGGAGCCCGGCGATGCGGCCGTAGGTATCGAGGTCAACGATATTCTGGAGGAAGTTGCGTCCGCTGACAAGCCCGCGCTGGTTCGGAGGGGCGATGCGCTTAACCACCGTCTGCCACTTCCAATGGTGAACGCTGCAGATGATCTTATTGCTGCTGAGCTTGAGGCTGAGCGGCCTCACGTCGCTGGCCGCCCTGCTGACTAGGTCGCCGGTGTCGTGCTCGTCGAGGCCCTTGGGCGCGTAGATCGCCGTCGCGAGGTCGAAGGAGTCGAACATCGGGGAGCCGCTACAGATCCACTCTGAGCAGGATGAGAGGACATCAAGGACACGGGGGCGCTTCCAGGCAGCGCAGGGAAGGCCATCGACACCAGGGGCGCTGGTCGGCATTTTCTCCGCGAACTTGGTGAAATCATGGCGCGCTGGCGGGCCCACCTGCCCGGCCAACGCGCTGCTGTTGAAGCGGCCGAGGCGTGGCGAGCGCCAGGCCCCGGCGGCGCCTTCGCCGAGAAGACGCGGCCCCAGTAGTCGGACAGCTCAGCGAAGACGCCCACGGGGTCCGCGATCGCGTGACTCTCGACGCGGATCCCGGTGAGAACTTTCCTTGCCCGGAAGGGCGAGAAGAGCAGAGCACGACGTCGTAGCGCGCGCCTTTGTCCAGCATTCTTGGCTCGACGCCGGGAGCTGGCCTCCTGGGCCTCCTCAGCAAGGAGGGATGCCTCCTTGCGCTGCGCCTCCTCCCTCTGCAACCGGGAGTGGAGCGCGGCGAAGCGAGGGGGGGTCAGTCAGGGTGGCACGACTGACATTGAGGTCGATGTGGACGTACTCGGAGATCCACGGGTGGAGCCTGCAGAGCCTCGAAACGGCCTCGAAGTCATCGCCGTGGATGAGCCTCGCGAGCGTGCGCGTGACCATAGCTTTCGTGTGGACCCCGTTGGGCATCCCGTGAATCTTGGCGTTGCGGATGACCTTCGCAACCTCCTGGAGGACGGTCGTGGCGGCGATATGAGCGCGAGGCGCAGTCATCTGCTCAATCATGGCGGCGTCCAGGTACTTGTCTACCAAGTCAGAATATAGGTTGTGCTCGAAGTAATGTCGTGGAATTGGTGCGCACGGCTGGATCTGCGGGGAGCGGCCCCCCTCCTGGGGCGCGGCTGCCCCGTGTAGCACCGCCGCAAGCACAGCGCGGTCGCTGGCGCCCAGGACGCGCATCTCCTCGGGGCCCAGGTTGGTCGCGGCGGCCTGGCGCCCATGGCACAGGAGCCACGGGGGCGCGGAGATGAAGATCTCGTCAATCTTGGAGGCGGACTTGGCGTAAGCAGTCCAGTGGGTCGGGCCGACTGGGACGAGCTCCGCGTAGACCTTCGCCATCGCACGCCAGTGGCGCCCCGCGCGACCGGCACCAGGTAGACGTTCCCGTGGAAGAGCCGCCTCGCCAGAAACCTGACCGCGCCGGAGGGGCAGTTCGTCCGACCAGTTGAAGTCACCGGCCACGAAGCAGGTCCGCGTCTGGGGGGACTCCTGCGACCAGCGAGCGTCTGAGATCATGTCGGTGGTGACCGTCTTGGAACGGATGGCGCTGAGCCCGTGGTTGTGTACGTTCCAGATGATGAATTCCTTGTGGTCGCGCACGCTCCCGGTCGGGGCGCACGCTGCCGGTGACCTCGAGGGTGTCTCGCTGGCATCAGGACATCCGGTGCGCGTGGCGGCTCATGATCGGCATCGGCCCGGTCTCCTTTTTGGTTGCGCACGCTCCCGGTGGGGGCGCACGCGGCCGGTGACCTTGAAGGTGTCTCGCCGGCGTCAGGTAGGTCACCGACATCCGGTGCACGTGGCGGCTCATGGTCAGCATCGACCTGGTCACCGCCGTCGCCGCAAGCAGGCCACGGTAGGCGAAGGTGGAGCCGCTGGATGCGGCCATGCACGGGAGCGTTGTGGGACACCACTGCGGGGGCGGCCCAGCCTGCGATCTGGTTGACGAGGATCACGACGCCACCGCCAACGACACCTTCGGGCAGGTAGGAGGAAAACATGCATCCTTGGAAGTGCACCCGGTGGAGGATCTCGCGGAGGACGGTGTCGTTTCCACGGACCTCCTGGAGGAGGACGATGCCGTTCGCCTCCAAAGCATTGCCGAGAGCGTGGATCTTCGGGTCACTGATCTTGTCTGGGGTGGTCAGAGCCCTGCTGTTCCACGTGGCTATCTTGAAGGCGTGGTGCGGCGCGAATGCGTCAAAGACACCACTCTGGGGCGTCTGGCGTGAGAGCGGCTAGCAGGGCCATCGCCATTTGGGGGCGTTGAAGCCCAAGGGATTCGATACCTTTGTCGTTCCACATAAGTGCGACGTTGCCGTCGGGCTCGACGCCGATCTTGACCACGGGGGTCCAGTCATGGGTGATGGTACCCGATTGCTTGTCCGCGAAGAAGCGTTTCCTGGTGGCGGCCGTGAGCGCCCGCCTTGCTTTCCGGAGCTTGAACTCGAGGGTGCGGTCATGCTGGTTCTTATCCTCATCGACCGCGAGATTGATGAGGTCGCCGCTGGGGGCGGGGCAGGAAAATGACCGCCAAGAACCGTCAGCACGCCGAAGGGCGGACCGGGCGAGTGTGACCTGTTTGGTGGCCCACTCGCGTGTACCCTTGAATTTCAGGGTGAAGCTTTTGCCGAGGTCGTCACTGATGAGCTTCACTCGGTCCGGTTTGATGTTGGCTGCGTCGAGCCAGTCGGTGAGGGAGGCGCTGACCTGGTCCTTCGCCACCTGGCCGCGGGCGACGACGCGCAGGATGGTGGTGTCCTTGGGGCGGTTCCAGGCCGCCCCGGCTGGAGCGGGGCCGGGGTCGCCGCCGCGCAGGGGCCCAAGCTCCTTCTCGAGGGCGTCCAGCCTGGCTGCAAGTCTCGCGTTGGTGATGTCAACGTCGTCCATGCGCTTCTCCAGCGTGTCGATGCGCCGACCGAAGAGATTCTGCCCCTCCTGGGCGATCTCTGAACCCAGGCTGGTGACGCCAGCCGCAATCTTCTTGAATCTGGTGGCGGTGTTGTTCGCCGCGTCTTGATGCGCCTCCGCCATGGCGGAGATCCTGGAGCCCATCCTCGACGCCAACTCCTTGAGAGCGTGGCGATGCTCTGCCCTGGTGACGTGGTCGTCGTCGTCAGCGCGGTCCGTGCTAGAGGCGTCATCGTCCCGCCCAGGGCTGTGGGAGCCCTTCCGATCCCGGTCGTCGCCGTCGGAGCCGGGGCGAGGAGGTAGCCGATCGCCCTCGCCGCGGGGTCGAGGCTGCCAGGGGTCAGCACGGTGCTCAGAGCTGCCAGGCTGCCATGGGTCAGCGCATGCGCCTTCGGAGAGCGCCTCACCACGCCCTTGCTGACTGCGGCTCCTCCGAGGTGTAGCAGATCCTGCTCCAGCTGCAGCGTCGCGGGATCGATCTTCGGAGCGGCGATGCCGATGAGAAGCGCCGGACCCAGCGCCTGCAGGAGCTCGGTCGTCGGATCGAGGCTGGCGTCGAGTTCCCCTGTCGCCAGGAGGCATGTCTGTGCGAGAACGAGCGCGCACGAGAATGAGAAGGGCGCCAGGCGGCGCATGCACTGCGGGCCGACAGGCCGAGAAGCAGAGTGTAAATGGATATGTAGGTGGGGCAGACGCCCAGCAGTGAAAAGCAGTGCGCCGGACGCGGGGCGCTTGAGCCAAAATGGCTTGAGCCAAAATGGCTTGAGCCAAAATGGCTTGAGCCAAAATGGCTTGAGCCAAAATGGCTACGGACCTCCTCCTCCTCCTCCTCCTCCTCCTCCTCCTCCTCTCCTCCTCCTCCTCCCCTCCCACTCCTCCTCCTCCTCCTCCTCCTCCTCCTCCTCCTCCTCCTCCTCCTCCTCCTCCTCCTCCTCCTCCTCCTCCTCCTCCTCCTCCTCCTCCTCCTCCTCCTGCATCATCAGCATCATAGTCCCACCAGCCCTTTGGGCGTGAGTGGTTTAGAGAGCCCGCTCTGTTCTCAACCCTCCTTCCCCTTCGGGGAGGGGTTTATCCCTCCCCCTACCCCCTCCCCCTGGGCCTGGAGAGGTCCTTTCGCGGGTGGTCAGGGGGGTCCTTTTCGACTCCTGGGAGGGCTAAAAAACGACACCCCTCACGAGGATTCTGGCCCCGACGGGGGGGACCAGAAAAAATGCTCTCATCTTCTTTGAAGCCAAAATCATTGATTGTACTAAGGTTCTGGCCCCATTTTGGCCTTCTGAGGGGGCAGCACTCATTACAGCTCCCCTCTTCCTTCAAGGCAAAATCATTGATTTTACGAAGGGTTTGGGCTCAGTTTGCCCTTCTGAGGGGGCAGCGCTCATTGAAGCTCCCCTCTTCTTTGATCCATCCCCTCCACGATGGCCCCAAGAAGCGCCCAGGAGGCACCAAGAGGCCCCAAGATGGCCCCAAGAGGCCCCCAGGAGGCCCCCAAGAGGCCTCCAAGAGGCCCCCAAGATGCCCCCAAGAGGCCCCCAAGAGGCCCCAAGAGGCTCCCCCGAGGCACCCAAGACGCTCCTGGAAGCCCCTGGGGCCGCCAAGAGGCCCCCAAGACGCCCCAAACGGCCTCCAAGAGGCTCCCAAGAGGCCCGAAGAGGCTCCCCCAAGGCACCCAAGACGCTCCTAGAAGCCCCTGGGGCCGCCAAGAGGCCCCCAAGACGCCCCAAAAGGGGACGAGGTGCCCGAACGCCTCACGCCACGAGGAGCCCGAACGACTCACACCAGGACGAGGGGCCCGAACGACTCACACCACGAAGAGCCCGAACGACTCACACCAGAAGGAGGGGCCCGAACGACTCACACCAGGACGAGGCGCCCGAACGACTCACACCACGAGGAGCCCGAACGACTCACACCACGACGAGGGCCCCGAACGACTCACACCACGAGGAGCCCGAACGAGTCACACCAGGAGGAGGGGCCCGAACGACTCACACCAGGACGAGGGGCCCGAACAACTCACACCACGAGAAGCCCGAACGACTCACACCAGGACGAAGAGCCCGAACGACTCACACCACGAAGAGCCCGAACGACTCACACCAGGAAGAAGGGCCCGAACGACTCACACCAGGACGAGAAACCCCAAACGACTCAAACCACGAGGAGCGCTTTCTCTCCCTCCTCCTCCGCCTCGTCCTTCTCCCGCTCCCACCACAAGGAGGATGTACAAGGAGGCGGGAGGAAGGAGGAACAGGGGAGATATGCGGGGGCAGGCGGAAACACGCCTGAAAAACACGACTGTCGGCATGCTTCGCAAGAGTTGCTGTTTTGAGATGGGCTGGTGGGGATACGCGAAGCGTAAAGAATTACCATCATTACCTCCTCCTTTATTCAGCAAACTTCTCCCTCCACCTCCTCCATCATCACCATCCTCATCCTGGTCCCCTCCCCCACCTCTGCCGAAATGGCAGCTGTACTGCAGCAGGGAGGCGGAGGGAAACAAAAAAGGATATGTTGCCAATGTATGGTATCGTACCTCGATAGATCGAGGATCGATCGAAAAGCAATCGATCGAGGATCAATCCTCGATGAATCCTCGATTCATCCTCGATCGATCCTCCTCGAAGACTTGTCCTCGAGGACCGAACCTCCTCAATCGATCGAGGATCAATCCTCAAGGATCCATTCTCGATCCGTCCTCCCCCCCGCAATAGTAGCCTGCCCTCGGCGGCTTACGGAGGGTACCGCCGCCGGCCGCGGTCGCGTGGGTCCGCGCCGCGGCCGCGCGCCCTGCGGCGCAGGTGGGATCGTCGCGCGATGGCGTTGCGCAGCAGGGGATCAGGGGGGGAGGAGGCGGGGGAGGAGGAGGAGGAGAGGACGAGGAGAAGAGGAGGAGGAGGGCGGAGGCAAAGGCTAAGGCTAAGGCGCGTTAGGGGCGGTGCCGACCAAAGGGCCCCGGGAGGGGCCTCGAAATCGAGCGAAATGTACGGAAGCACCGGGCCCGTCAGCTATTCGCTGTTGGCCGTGCCTGGACACCCTCGGGATTTCTCTGGAATACGTAGGGGGCCCGTCGCGGGAAAGGCCTCCCTGATTGCAAAGACTCGAAGGGGAAATGGGCAGACCAGGAATTGCCCTGCATGGGCGCCCCCGTCGCTGCCCAGGACATACTAGAAGGCGTACTGACGCCCTTGCAGAAAATGAAGGCCTCCTCTGCCCAGGACACCCAACTGCAGCGCTCTTTGTCTCGCTCCCCCCACGCCCCGTCTCACCCCCCCCCCAGAGCTCGCGGCGAGCATCTCTGATCAGAGGGCCCCATGAGATCTGGCGAACAAATCCTACACCTGCGCCCCGAGGGAGACCTGGGGGGAGCCGAGCCCGGCGCCAAACGCTCCCAGCACGGGAGACGATTCTTTTTCGATGCGCCAACTGCGCGCCTGTCATTTCTCCTCGCGGGCAAAGGCGTGCAGTGGCAACATGTATAAGATAAGGCACCTGGTTTGATCGAATTCTTTGCGTGTCTCTCCTTCAAGCATCACTACACCGAGTTACTCCCAGCATCGCAAAGCACACGCGACTTGGCCATCTGAGCCCTCGGCCTGCAATCGCGAAACAATATCACGAAATGTTTATTCATCGCCGCTCGCAAATAAATTATAGATTCTGCCCATCAGCACAGGGTCGGTTCGGGCTCTTGCAGCACCTTGTATCTTATCTTCGGCCTCTTCCAGGTCTGCCCGAATAAGATCCAGAGAATTAACATGACTCTCGGACAGCCCACAATGAGACGACAAGCGTTCGTATGCATGCGCACGAAAATCCAATTGGTCCCGGGTGAGCACGTCAGACAGGTCAAATATTTCTTCGAGCTGCTCGATTGCCAGTAAAATCTCATCGTCCTACGTTTCGGCCGAACTCGCCAGCACCCTTCTTTCAGCTTCGTCCAGCTCCGCACGAATAATAAACAAGTACGTGTCTTCGCCTCTTAGACAACCAATTTCGATTCGACGAACTTTCAAACTCGCGCAACAGATCATCAAATAAGTCGCGGGTCACCTTTTCCCCTGGCTGTTCGATGGCCGCGGTAATGAGATTCGTCTCATTCGGCTGCTGCTTGCGAAAACAATATTTAATCATATGCATACGTCCGCTATGCTTGGGGTCAAATACACTCTTGTCTTGATTCCACTGTTTACCCGTGGCCGGACGCTCCACCTCCTCCCTCTCCTCAGTTTTCACAGAATTGGCAAGACAGTTTGCTTGTTCATCTTGTTCCCTTGGTGCGCCCGGCCCTGAGAAAGGGCGAAGAGTACTCTGGCTTGCATGAGTATTAGTTTGCAACCAAGATCCCACCGAAGGCACATGCGAACACGGCAAAAATGTTACGCGCGTGACATCATGCGTGCACTCTGCATGCTGATCTACCTCCAGACCTGGCGAATATTCAACCTCTTCATACTTAACGCCAGGTGGATCGCACGTGGACGTCTGATCCTGGCTCTTCGTCTCGACGAGGAGGTCGCACCTTTAGGATGACTAAGAGGCGACAGATCACTTTCGAGAGACAATCCTGCGGGCGGAAGCATAAGCATGAATATATGTGGCTGGGGACATGTGTCCGAGCTCCCCCTGGCCTTTTACAGCAAGCGGAAGGGACCCGTGGGCATGTGGCTGGTTCCCTTGGAAGTTTCGGGCGAGACGTTCCCTCAACTGCTTGCTCCGAAACGCTGTCTAGGAGGAGGAGGAGGAGGAGGAGGAGGAGGAGGAGGAGGAGGGGAGGAGGAGGAGGGAAGAGGAGGAGGAGGGAGGGAGGGGGGGAGGAGTGAGGAGAAGTGGGCAGGAGGGAGGAGGAGGGAGGAGGTGAGGAGGAGCAAGAGAGCCCAGAATCGAACCGATAGGTCGAATCGGCGATCGAAACGAATCAGATCGGCGGAGGTCGGAAGCCAAGTCGGGATAAGTCGAATCGGCAGAAATCGGCAGCCTAGTGATGCCCCCATTGATAAACCGAAATCCAAATCGGAAGCCGAAATCGAATTAAATCGGAATCGGAATCGATCGAAATCAAATCGAATCTAGTCGGAAACGAACCCCGAGGAGTGAGGAGCAGCATCGAGGGATCCCTCCTCCACCGTGAGATCGTTGGGCACGAAGTCGTACTCGACCGACGGGTACACCTGCACGATGTTGCCGCGTCGCCCGCGCACGTTGTAGTTCACGATCCTGGCGTCGTCGGGGACGTCGAAGGGGCGTTTCTCCACCTTGAAGCTGTGGGTCCGGTCCTGGAAAGTGCGACCGTACTGGTTCGTGTTCAAGTTCATCTGGAGCATGTAGTCGGGGCCGAGGTTCACGAAGTCGGCGATCGGGTCCTGGGAGGGCCCTGGACCGGTGCGCCCTGCGGCCCCACCCCGTGGAGGAGAGGAGAATGGGAGGGGCGGGCGAGGGTCTTCATCCTCATCCTCATCATGTCTCCGCGCGTCTGCACCCTCCTCCCTCCCACACCTCCTCCCCCCCCTCCTCCTCCTCCCTGTCCTCCTCCTCATCCTCCTCCTCATCCTCCTTCTTCTCCTCATCATCGTCATCCCCTCCTCCTCCTGCTCCTGCTCCTCCTCCTCCTCATCCTCCTCCTCATTCCATCTCCATCCGTCTTCCTATAATCAATCACCCCCTATTGCAACACCACACGTGTTCGTAGGCTGGGCCTGGCGTTTCGCTTGAGACTTTCATGCGATACGTTTTCCTGAGGCCATGCGGGACACCAGCACCTACAAGGACGGAGAGCCAGTGGTTTCCAAAACGTGGCCCTCGTCTCAGCAACGCGCACATTCGTCACACAACTTCCAGCATCTACAGGGATGGACGGCCAGTGGCTTCTAGAACACGTCTCTCGCCTTAGCGCCGCGCACAGTCGACCGTAAAAGTTCCCAACAGCTGCAGAGATGGTGGGCCAGCGGTTCTTAGAGATGCGTCCCTCGCCTTCGCGCCGCGCACCGTCGACATGACCAGGGCCGTGCCATGTGTGCAGCACCTGCACGGATGGTCTCCGCACGGAGCTGTCGCTGTACAGTCATCGTGCTACCAGAAGGAGCACACAATGAAGAACAGAGGGGCGTTTTTGGCCACGGTGGGCCTAGGCCACAAAAGGCTCCACGACATGAATCTGGGAAACTATCCGGAAGCACGAGCCCCTCCCGAGCCCAGAGCGATCCTTCTTTCGGCGTCTTGACTGCACACCTCCTCACGATTCATCATCCCACCTCTGTTGGTTGGCGTTTCTTTTACATCGATGGGATGGAGGGGAAACCATAAGGTACCGATACCGGTGCTCCCGAGATCACCCGCGGTGGTGCGTTCTGACCCAGATTTCGGGGCGAGTCCAGCCGCGGCGACGAGGGCCTCCCGGGAGGCCCAGCAGGGCGAAATCGAGGGAAGGGTACACTCGACAAGACGCAAGAGTGACCCTGGGTAAGAGTGACCTTCGATGCTCGGCTTTTTGCGGGCCGCGGGTGGATTGAACACGAGCGCGCAAGACGCTGCTACCGCATCGCTTTCGGCGATGCGGGGAGCCCTTTGGGCCCGCACCCAAAGGCCACTCCGGCGAAAGGTCACTTTACGTCTAGTCGATACGCCTTGGGATACCCCCCCTCTACGAACCCCGGTATCGGCGCCTGCTCCTCCTCTGAGATGGAGGGTGGATCCGCTGCACAGCACGAGTAAAGCCGCCCGGGCGGCAGGCCCCTCCGTGGGTGGGGCCGACCCTCAAGGGGGTTCGGGGGAAGAAGGGGGGCGCTGTTCTCGCAGAGGAGGGGACCATCCGGGCGCTGTTCCCGCATCCTGGGTTTGGTCCTCCTCCTCGTCCTCCTCCTCCTCCTCCTCCTCCTCCTCCTCCTCCTCCTCCTCCTCCTCCTCCTCCTCCTCCTCCTCCTCCTCCTCCTCCTCCTCCTCCTCTCCTCCTCCTCCTGCTCCCCCTCCTCCTCCCACTCCTCCTCCTCTTTTTCTTATTAGTATTAGTATTATTATTATTATTAGTAGTAGTAGTAGTAGTAGTATTACTGTTATTATTATTAATAATAATGGTAATAATAATAATAATAATAATATTAGTATTATTATTATGCTGATTATTATTATTGGTATTAATATTATTATTAGTATTATTGCTATTGTTACTATTATTATTATTATTATTAGTAGTAGTAGTAGTAGTATCACCAGTCTTATTAATAGTATGATTAGTAATACTCTTATTCGTCGTAGTATTATTCTTATTAGTCTCAGTATTATTATTATTCTTCTTATTACGAGTGTTCGCTTCTTATGATTCTTAGTATTATTCGTATTATTATTCTTCTTAGTATTATTCGTATTCTCATTATTCGTATTATTATTATTATTAATATTATTATTCTTCGTATTAGTATTATTAGTATCCGTATGGTTACTATTATTCGTCTTAGTTTTATTATTAGTATTATGCTCATTAGTCGTATTAGTCTTATCATCATTATTGTTATTATTATTCGTATGTTTCCTATTAATGTCAGGAATATTATGATTAGTATCATGATTATTCTTATTTGTCTTCATATTATTATTCGTATTATTATTATTACTACTACTATTACTATTATTATTACTAGTATCCTTCCTCCTCCTCCTCCTCCTCCGCCTCCTCCTCCTCCTCCTTCGCCTCCTGCTCCTCCTCCTCCTCCTCCTCCTCCTCCGCCTCCTCCTCCTCCTCCTCCTGCGCCGCCTCTTCCAGCCCTGCTCCCTCCCTCGTCGATTCCAACTCTTCCCCCCCCCATTTATGCCTCCGTCCACCCTCCTTCT